ATATATATGTATATATATTTATAAAACAATAATAATAAAAAAAATATAATATGTTATTATTGAGTTTGATATTCGATGAAAATCAAGTTAATTTTAAATTCTAAAGCAATCAACACTCTTTATTAAGAGGTGTCATTAACACTCCCCTATAAATTATATATATATATATATGTATATGGGGAAGGAGGTTTCCTGTGCATTTTCTGGAGCTTATAGCGTAGGCTTAGACTAGAGAGGAAAGAAGCAGAAAGCAACAGTGTTTTGATTTGCCACGTGCGAAGCTGCTATGGGGAGTCACGTGACACGAAGCCTCCTTCTACGTCACTAATGAGCCTTCAGCACGTGCGACCACTGTTTCCCCTCACGTGTCACATTAATCTCGGTCCTTAAAACCCAAAAAAGTAAACCATAAAACGCCACCCTCTCCCCCTCTCTCTAAAAGCTGCAAGCAATTCATCCCCTCCGTACGACGTCGGCTTAAATACCACCAACAACCTTCTTTGCCATTTCTACCGCCCTCTCCCATCTTTCTGAGCTGTACGGAAACCCTAGCTTTCGCTGATCAGTGGCGAGTTAATTTGGTGGTCGGAATCAATACCCTACGACCGACGTTCACCTCCACTTCTTTGAGCATTGTTGATTTTTCCGGCGGTGGTGTGTATTTGGTTGTTTAGAAGATAATGTTAGAGTTTCCGAAGGATCAATCAGAAGGTTCAGGAGAAGAAGCAGTTTCTGAAGCGGTGAATTCAAGTCAAAGTTCCATGAGTAGTGATAGTTGCACTAGTTTTTGCCGTTTGTCATTTGATGCGTTGGAGTTGCTTCCACCATCTCGACCGCTGTACTCGCCGGAAAATATGATACTGAAGCCGCACAGGTCCTCGGAATCGTCGTGGCAAGCGATTCGGACGGTGGCGTTGAAGAGGAGTAGCAGTGAAGGATACGGTGGTGTCGATGGAGGAAGTAGTCTGAGCTTTAGAGATTTTAGCCTTGTTCGTCAGATCGGAAGCGGCGACATCGGGAAAGTGTACCTGTGTCGTCTGCGAAACGAGGATGAAGAAGAAGGTCGGTGCTATTACGCCATGAAAGTGGTAGATAGGGAGGTATTAGCTCTGAAGAAGAAGATCGAGAGAGCGGCAACGGAGAAGAAAATCTTAAACATGCTTGATCATCCTTTCCTGCCTTCTCTCTACGCTCAGTTTGAAGCATCTCACTTCTCATGCGTCGTCATGGAATACTGTTCCGGCGGCGATTTGCACTCTCTCCGCCATAAACAACCGCGAAAACGCTTCTCTCTCTGCGCCGCAAGGTACCTACCAATTACCATTACTATAATCTCTATTCTACCATTCCTTTTCTATTAATCAATCATAAATTTCTTCTCTTCTGTCGTTTTTTGCTTGTTCCTATAATCCTTATCCTGATTTGTATCTACCTATACGTCGAAATTTGAAATCGACTCTTTGACTCTACCGATTTTTCTATGATAATTCACACTTTTTGACTTCGTACCTGCAATTGCCATTAATGGAGGCTTCTCTGATTAGCTTTCAAATCGAAGTTACCGGATCAAGGATTTTACCTTTGATATTCGAGCAACTGATTTGAAAATTCATCTGGTTGTTCCCGAGAAAACCAAAAATTAATCCAATCTTTTGATTTTATTTTTGGTAATCCAGGTTTTATGCTGCTGAGGTTTTGGTAGCTCTAGAGTATCTGCACATGCTCGGAATCATCTACAGAGACCTAAAGCCTGAAAATGTGTTGGTCAGATCAGATGGTCACATCATGCTCACTGATTTCGACCTTTCTCTGTGCTCTGATGCAATCCCCGCCGTTCAATCTCAATCTCTTTCTTCATCGCCGGATCCAGCTTCATCCTCGCCGGCGGTTCAACGTTCATCGTCTCATCCCTTCTCTTGCCTCCCAAGTCAACTCTTCCGATCGAAGAAAATCCAGTCGTTTTCCGCCACCAACCGGTTGTTCGTGGCGGAGCCGGTTACCGCCAGATCTTGTTCCTTCGTCGGCACACACGAGTACGTCGCTCCGGAAGTCGCTTCCGGTAATTCACACGGCAATGCCGTCGACTGGTGGGCTCTCGGGATCTTCATCTACGAGATGGTCTACGGTTGCACGCCGTTTGCGGGTGTAACGAATGAAGCTACGCTGCGTAACATCGTGAAAAAACCTCTCCAGTTCCCAACGGTCTCACCGATCTCTTCGCGCGAAACGCAAGCGCGTGACTTGATATCCAGATTGCTGGATAAGGATCCGGAAAACCGGTTCGGGTCTAAACGTGGAGCGGCTGATATCAAGACCCACCCGTTTTTTAACGGGTTGAACTTTGCACTTATCCGGTCAGCGACCCCGCCGGTGATCCCCAGACAGACTACGACGTCGTCACGTTACTTTGGTGGGCCAACGTCGACGTTTGATTTCTTCTGAATAGATTTTTTTTGGAGGTGGAAATTACTAATGAGGACATGTAAATATAAATATAAATATAAATACCATTGGTGTAGTCTTAGCTCTATTTTTGCTAATCAAGAATGGATCATGCCCCAATTAATGTTAGTAAAAAAAAACATTGTTGTTTAAAAACCCCTTATATTCGCCATCAAACTAATAATCATATTTTTTTATTAAATAAAAATTGTATATATTTGAAAAAAAATAATACTAGAAGGTTGTTTATTAAAACGCTTATAAGTTCAACATTCACCGGTAGGAGTCATCACTCTCGTTAGCCTTGTTGGATAAGATATGTAATAATATTACTCGGTAAGGGTCCAACAATAAGAGTCCTCGCCTTATTTCAGATCAAGCACCTCCTATTTCAACTCAAGGACCACCTGATTCAACTCAAGTACCATCCAACTCGACACAAGAATGTTCCTCTCGTTCTCAAACCAGAAAACGAAAAACTAATCAACCATTGGTAAGGGAAGATGAGTTGACTCATGTGGTGACACATGTGAACAGGCCCGTTCCTGACATTTTATGGGCCCTGGGCGAACGTAAAAACAGGGCCCACCGCATTTGAACCTCCGTGATCACAAGGTGATTTTTGTTCCTTCTTGGATTTGAACATGAGACCTCCAGACCTTTGGAGCCAAACTCAAACCAACTAGGCACCACCCTTGTGGTTACTTAAATTTACGTATTTTTTATTAGGTAATTTGAAACCAAGAGTATAGAACCTATGGTTGATAAATTTTTATAAGAAGTAAGATTTTTTTTAGTTTATAACAAGAAATATGTGTTATTTTGATAATAATAAAAAAAAAAAGAATTCGTGTGAATGAAGTAATCGTGAGGGTCAATGAGAGATCAATAATAAAGAAGATTATCAAGGTTTTCTAGACAAGTAGACAAATGAGGATCAATAAAAATATGAAAGAAAAAAATGATTCATTGAGATCTAATAAAAAAATAATAAATTAAACATATAATATGCAAGCTCAACAAATGATTGTTTGAATACTTAAATAGAATATTGCAGTGCGGTGGAATCTCAATTAAGTCAGATAATTGACGAAAATATTTATATTTTCCTTCTTTTTTTGCTCAACTAAAATAAGATGTTAAAGATTAAAAATTTATGAAACATGACATATATAAGAGACATTACTAAATATATCTAGTAGAAAAAAATTATTGATTAATCACAAAATTATGAAACACGTCATAAATTATAAAAACAATAGATTGATTGTCAAACAATAGTAAAATATTTTATATAGAAGTAAAAATAGATAACAATAGTCAACAAAAACAATTAGAACAACATAACCAAATAGCAATAGTTAATAGAAGCAGAAATTGATAAAAATATCCAACAAAAATATATAGCAATAACAAACACATGATCTTGACGTTGAATTGTTAAACCATGAAAACAGCCAAACATATAGAGATAACAATAACCAATATGATTGGACCTTTTTGAAGATAAAAAAAATTAGAGGGGCAATAAATAATAGCATATAATGAATGGCCAATTAATTTTTTTATTTTCTTCTCCAATATAATTAGTTGAAATATTTTTAGGCCTTTATTATGTACAAAATTTTTTTGCTTCTTATTATATGTTACAATTTTTTGGGTTTCATTATTTCATTAAATTCTTTTAGACTACTATTGTATTTTTAAGGAAAAAATTTGGGCCCCTGATATTTTTGGGCCCTGGGCGTGCGCCCGTGCCGCCCTCCCCCAAGTACGGCCCTGCATGTGAAAACCATTTTTGACAAACCAACGGAGGACGGAGATATGGACGCTTGTATGTCAAAATTGGAGAAACTTGGTTGGGACGATAGCCCGTTATATGACATCACACTTTTCCTTTTTAGACAAAACATAGATTATAAGAGAATTTCGCTACGTTTGAAGGATGAGAGGTGTGAGTCATGAGTTAACTTTACGACACTCCAACTTAACTTAAAATAAGCACGTGATGTTTGATATTGATGTGGTATTTAGACCGACATGTTTTGTATGGATGATTTTGGAACTTTTATCACTTTTTGATGTTTTGTATGGACGAGTATGGAACTTTATCACTTTTTGGTGTTTTCTGTATGCACGAGTTTTGGAACTTTAATATGTTCAGTTTGATATTATGCCACTCTTTAGTGTTGATTGTTTAACTTGATGTTTTTGTTGTTCTAGTTGTATGTTAAAGATCTATGTCATGTATGAAACATAATACGATGTTTTTTGTATTTCGTATTTGCAAGGTTATATGGTTCGTAATCAATTAATGATGATTGTGGTGATTGCATATTGGTATTTGAGAAGAAGAGCTGAAACAAGAATAGAAAGGAGAGAAAGAATAAGAGATAACAATTCAAATTTGACCAGACATGAGTATACACAAGAATTATTATGTGAGTCTAATACACAATTGTTGGTCTCAGCCGGATCTGCAAGAGTTTTAGACGAACAGTTTGTAAAAGGGGGGGATGAATACAATTGATAGAGAAAGATCAATACATATTTTTTGCAGATTGTTTGCGGAAATAGAACAGGTAAAGATAACCTTTCTAAAACAATCTAAGATTACACATAAATAAACTTAGCAAATAGAAAAGATTTGCCGAAAAGATAAAGATAGGAGGATGCTTTTATGGGTAAGAACTTTAGAATTCTTGAGAGGGATTCTAACTTGCTTGAAGATAAACGTATTTGTTCTTTAGATAGATGTGTAATCTCTGTGTATGCGTGCTTTGCATGGGGAGAGCACTCAGCTATTTATACCCATTGCAGTAAATGTAAATCAGAAGGGTTGGAACATGCGTCAAGCTTTAAGAGGAAAACTTGTGCTTTACTACAGTGAATAGTACAATTGTCTATTCATTAGCAGACATCCTTTCGTGGAGTTGATGGGCACTAGAGTCGACTAGTCGGCTCTGTGCTGTACTATACTCTTGAAAGGGTATGGGTTTGTCCTTTGTGTGTGGAAGGACAAGACAAAAACAATCTTGCATGGCAAGCTTCATTTGATCGCTGAATGCTGGAACAACGGTGAATATCTTTTTAGCATTCACTGAGGCTTATACAATTTTCACACATATGTTGACCAGTTTGTAATCACTAAATACCGCTTCAGATCACGAACACGCCAGTCACTAACCTTCAGTTTCAGTCTTCGACATTCACTGAAGGTTCTTTGGTGTGAGTTTTGTCTACTTGAAGTATCGCTGTCGCTGTAGGACTTACAGTGCGTGTTTTAGTGATCACTGAACAGACTCAGTGATGATCGTTGGAACTGAAAAGACAGAAATATAACGCTTCGAAAGGTAAAAGGGATTATCATCAAATCACTAAGAGAGAGAGGATCAACAATCTTCCCCTATTTGATGATGGCAAATCAACATAAAAAAAATTGCCTTAAGGATTAATAGTAAGGAAAAATTACATATAAAGTATATGTCCCTTTTAACTATTTTGGGATCTTTTTCAGTGAATCAGTTTTTAATTTATAAGTTTTCTTAAGTTACAAGTTTAAGAAAAAGTACAAGAAGGAAAACTGAAGCTGAAAGCATGTTCACTGATTAGAGATTGTCAGTGACTGTAAGAGTATACTGGAACTCATAAACATGTGTCCCTATTACTCTTTTCAGGGATTCTTTTCAGTGATGCTGATGAAATACTTATATTAAGGGAAAATTACAAGTGTTTCAGTCAGTACATTTCTAGACTTATTACATATATGTTGTACACTGAAAGAAAAGACATAGATACAAAAGACATACAATGAAAAATAAATTTACAAGACATAATTTCATAACTATTCTAGGTCGCTGAAGTCGATGTAGCTAGGTACTTCTTCTCTAAGCATCTTTCGACGTAGAAATTCTCTTCTGATCTTGCGGTCTATCATTTCACCATATAAATCATTGTCCAACCAATATCTTAGATAGGCAAGATGTTCCATGGGACAAAGATTAAACTTAGACACTCTCTGGAAGCTGTGTTTGCCTTCGTTGGCAAAGAGAGTGTTGGTCCCGTTAGGGTCAACAAGATGTGTACAACAGTTTGTAGAAGGGGGGGGGGGATGAATACAAACACATAAACTTTTCAAATTTAAAATATATATTGATAAACAAGGATCAATACAGATTTTATAAGATTGTTTGCGGAAAGATAAGGTAAATAAAACCTATCTAAACAATCTAAAGATACACACAAATTCTTAGCAAATAAAGAAAAACTTTGCTGTTAAAGGCTTAAAGGAAAGTAAGTTCTATTTGGGAAAGAACTATTTAGAATACAATAAAGGGATTCTAACTTGCTCTTGAAGATGAGTGTATGAGTTCTTAGATGTGTGTTTTTTTACTTAAGTGTAAGTAAGTTGAGGTTGAGAGATTTGAGGTGGTCGAAGTATCTCTGCATAGAGATAGAACACATCTATTTATACTCATTGCATTAAATGCACATTTAATACAACGTGGTAGGGTTAGAACGTGTGTCAAGCCTTAAGAGGAAGACTTGTTCTTTGTTACAGTGAATAATACAAAAGCTTATTCATGAGTAGACATCCTTTCACAAAGTTGGTGGGTAATAGAGTTAACTAGTCGGCTCTGTACCGTACTAACATTTAGAAAGGGTATGGGTTTATCCTTTGTGTGTGTAAGGACTAGACAAAAACAATCGTGCTCAACAAGCTTCTTTTGATCGTTGAATGCTGGAATAACCTGGAGGTCTCTTCAGCATTCGCTGAGGCTTGGGTAGTCTTCACACATATGTAGACAAGGTCGTAATCACTGAATACTACTTCAGATCACGTACTCGCCAGTCTCTAATCTTCAGTTTTAGTCTTCGAATTTTGCTGAAGGTTCTTTGGTGTGAGTTTTGTCTTCTTGAAGTATCGCTGTCTTTGATTTGACTTAAAATACAAGTTCTTCAGCAATTACTTAACAGACTCAGTGATGATCGCTGGAACTGAAAATAGAAACATAAATACTTCGTATAAGGTAAAAGGGATTATCATCAAATCAATGAGAGAGAGGACCAAAAATCTGCCCCTATTTGATGATAACAAGACAACA